AATGAAAAAAATATATATCAGAAAGGAAAGTAAAAAAAAAAAAAATCCCTTTTAAAATCACATCAAAAGGGACTCCCTGGTAGTGCAGTGGTTAAGAATCCACTTGCCAATGCAGGGCACACAGGTTCGAGCCCTGGTCCTGGAAGATCCCACATGCCACAGAGCAACTAAGCCCATGTGCCACAACTACTGAGCCTGTGCTCTAGAGCCCGTGAGCCACAACTACTGAGCCCACATGCCACAACTACTGAAGCCCACGCACCTAGAGCCCGAGCTCTGCAGCAAGAGAAGCCACCGCGATGAGAAGCCTGCACGTTGCAAAAAAGAGTAGCCCCTGCTCGCCAAAACTAGAGAAAGCCCACGCGCACCAACAAAGACCCAACAAGGAAGACCCAATGCAGCCAAAAATAAATAAATAAAATTATTTTTTCTTTAAATAATTTTTTTTTTTTTTTTTTTTTTTTTTTTTGTTTCTATCAAACATTTAGAGAAGAGCTAACACCTATTCTTCTCAAACTCTTCCAAAATATAGCAGAGGGAGGAACACTCCCAAACTCATTCTACGAGGCCACCATCACCTTGATACCAAAACCAGACAAGGATGTCACAAAGAAAGAAAACTACAGGCCAAGCAGCTTAAAAATAATTTTTTAAAAAATCCTCAACAAAATACTAGCAAACAGAATCCAACAGAACATTAAAAGGATAATACACCATGATCAAGTGCGGTTTATTCCAGGAATGCAAGGATTCTTCAATATACGCAAATCTATCAATGTGATTAACCATATTAACAAATTGAAGGAGAAAAACCATATGATCATCTCAATAGATGCAGAGAAAGCTTTTGACAAAATTCAACACCCATTTATGATAAAAACCCTGCAGAAAGTAGGTGTAGAGGGAACTTTCCTCAATATAATAAAGGCCGTATATGACAAGCCCACAGCCAACATCATCCTCAATGGCGAAAAACTGAAAGCATTTCCACTAAGGTCAGGAACAAGACAAGGTTGCCCACTCTCACCACTCTTATTCAACATAGTTTTGGAAGTTTTAGCCACAGCAATCAGAGAAGAAAAGGAAATAAAAGGAATCCAAATCGGAAAAGAAGAAGTAAAGCTGTCACTGTTTGCAGATGACATGATACTATACATAGAGAATCCTAAAGATGCTACCAGAAAACTACTAGAGCTAATCAATGAATTTGGTAAAGTAGCAGGATACAAAATTAATGCACAGAAATCTCTGGCATTCCTATATACTAATGATGAAAAATCTGAAAGTGAAATCAAGAAAACACTCCCATTTACCATTGCAACAAAAAGAATAAAATATCTAGGAATAAACCTACCTAAGGAGACAAAAGACCTGTATGCAGAAAATTATAAGACACTGATGAAAGAAATTAAAGATGATACAAACAGATGGAGAGATATACCATGTTCTTGGATTGGAAGAATCAACATTGTGAAAATGACTCTACTCCCCAAAGCAATCTATAGATTCAATGCAATCCCTATCAAACTACCACTGGCATTTTTCACAGAACTAGAACAAAAAATTTCACAATTTGTATGGAAACACAAAAGACCCCGAATAGCCAAAGCAATCTTGAGAACAAAAAATGGAGCTGGAGGAATCAGGCTGCCTGACTTCAGACTATACTACAAAGCTACAGTAATCAAGACAGTATGGTACTGGCACAAAAACAGAAAGATAGATCAATGGAATAGGATAGAAAGCCCAGAGATAAACCCATGCACATATGGTCACCTTATCTTTGATAAAGGTGGCAGGAATATACAGTGGAGAAAGGACAGCCCCTTCAATAAGTGGTGCTGGGAAAACTGGACAGGTACATGTAAAAGTATGAGATTAGATCACTCCCTAACACCATACACAAAAATAAGCTCAAAATGGATTAAAGACCTAAATGTAAGGCCAGAAACTATCAAACTCTTAGAGGAAAACATAGGCAGAACACTCTATGACATAAATCACAGCAAGATCCTTCTTGACCCATCTCCTAGAGTAATGGAGATAAAAACAAAAATAAACAAATGGGACCTAATGAAACTTCAAAGCTTTTGCACAGCAAAGGAAACCATAAACAAGACCAAAAGACAGCCCTCAGAATGGGAGAAAATATTTGCAAATGAATCAACTGACAAAGGATTAATCTCTAAAATTTACAGGCAGCTCATGCAGCTCAATAACAAAAAAATAAACAACCCAATCCAAAAATGGGCAGAAGACCTAAATAGACATTTCTCCAAAGAAGATATACAGACTGCCAACAAACACATGAAAGAATGCTCAACATCATTAATCATTAGAGAAATGCAAATCAAAACTACAATGAGATATCACCTGGAGGGGTGGGATAGGGAGGGTGGGAGGGAGGGAGACAAAGAGGGAAGAGATATGGGAACATATGTATATGTATAACTGATTCACTCTGTTATAAAGCAGAAACTAACACACCATTGTAAAGCAATTATACCCCAATAAAGATGTTTAAAAAAAAAATCACATCAAAAAAGTAATAAAATACTTAGGAATAAACCTGAGTAAGGAGGTGAAAGACTTATGCTGAGAACTGTAAAACACTGATAAAGGAAACTGAAGATGATTCAAAGAAATAGAAAGAATTAATATTATTAATTGGACTGGAAGAATTAATATTGGATTAGATTGGAAGAATTAATATTATTAAAACGACCATACTACCCAAAGCAATCTACAGATTTAATGCAATTCCTATCAAATTACCCATGACGTTTTTCACAGAACTAGAACAAGTAATCCTAAAATGTATATGGAACCATAAAAGACCCAGAATTGCCAAAGCAATCCTGAGGAAAAAGAACAAAGCAGGAGGCTTAACCCTCCCAGGCTTCAGGCAATACTACAAAGCTACAGTAATCAAAACAGCATGGTACTGGCACAAAAACAGACATATGGGTCAATGGAACAGAATAGAGAGCCCAGAAATAAACCCACACACCTACGGTCAATTAAGCTTCAATGAAAGAGGCAAGAACATACAATGGAGAAAAGACAGTCTCTTCAGCAAGTGGTATTGGGAAAGCTGGACAGCTGCATGCAAATCAATGAAGTTAGAACATACACTCACAATGTATACAAAAATAAACTCAAAATGGCTTAAAGACTTAAATATAAGACATAGAACCACAAAACTCCTGGAAGAGAACATAGGCAAAACATTCTCTGACATAAATTGTAGCAAAATTTTCTTAGGTCAGTCTCCCAAGACAATAAAATAAAAGCAAAAATAAACAAATGGGACCTAATCAAACTTACAAGCTTTTCCACATAAAAGGAAACCATAACCAAAACAAAACGACAGCCTATGGACTGGGAGAAAATATTTGCAAATGATGCAACCAACAAGGGCTTAATTTCCAAAATATACATACAGCTCATACAACTCAGTAACAAAAAAACAAACAACCCAATCAAAAAATGGGCAGAAGACCTAAATAGACATTTTTCCAAAGATATACAGATGGCCAACAGGCATATGAAAAGATGTTCAAAATCACTAATTATTAGAGAAATGAAAATCAAAACTGCAATGAGGTACCACCTCACACTGGCCAGAATGGCCATTATTAAAAAGTCTACAGAAAAACAAATGCTGGAGAGGGTATGGAGAAAAGGGAACCCTCCTATACTGTTGGTGGGAATGTAAATTGGTGCAGCCACTATGGAAAACAGTATGGAGGTTCCTCAAAAAACTAAAAATAAAGCTGCCCTATGATCCAGCAATCCCACTCCTGGGCATATATCCAGACAAAACTCTAATTCGAAAAGATACATGCATCCCTCTGTTCACAGCAGCACTATTTACAATAGCCAAGACATGGAAGCAACCTAAATGTCCATCAACAGATGAATGGATACAGAAGATGTTTTTTACATACACACACACACACACACACACACACACACACACACACACAGTGGAACACTACTCAGCCACAAAAAAGAATGGAATACTGCCATTTGCAGCAACATGGATGAACCTAGAGATTATCATATTAAGTAAGTCAGAAAGAGAAAGAAAAATACCATATGATAACACTTACATGTGGAATCTAAAATATGACACAAATGAACTTATCAATGAAACAGAAACTGACTCACAGCCATAGAGAACAGACTTTTGGTTGCCAAGGGAGGTGTGGGGGTGTGGGGGAGGGACAGATTGGGAGTTTAGGACTAGCAGATGCAAACTATTCTATATAGGATGGATAAACAACAAGGTCCTACTGCATAGCACAGGGAACTATATTCAATATCCTGTGATAAACCATAATGGAAAGAATATGAAAAAGAACATATATATATATATATATATATATATATATATATATGCACACATACACATATATAACTGAACCACTTTGCTGTACACCAGAAACTAACACAACATTGTTAGTCAACTAAACTGAATTTAATTAATTAATTAAATATATCTATAAACTCTGCATTTATCTTAAAACATTTTTATTGCCTTCCCACTTTAATGTCTTATAGCTAAGTAATGTTAGACATATTAACTAACCACTGTGAACCTTAATTTTCTCATCTATATTAATGAGTATCTCAAAATGTTATTGTAAAAATTAATTAAGAAAAAGTTTTTAGAGCATGGACCACACTGCTTGGTACATACAGAGTACAAAATAAATGTAAGCTGCCCCTTTTTAACATTTGTAATTCTCTATTTAATCTTATCATTCCAACATTTAGACTAGGTAGACATAGATAATTGTAAGAAATATTGTAAAATACATTTTGGAAAATTTCATTCATTGTTACCTCAATATTATTTCCCATTATTATTTTGTCTTTTTAGAAATGTTATTAATTAAAAAAAGAAATAATTCCTCAATTCCTATGTTGTAAATACTGCTCACTGAAATGTAAGTACAGTCCCTACAAAGCTAACATAATTTCATATGCTTTACCTTTGGTAAATATCTTGTCTTTTACTGGCTTCTAGAGCTCCTTTCAATCGACTCTCAGAAAGCAAATCATCAACCTACAATAAATGGAGACTGTTTAAAATATCATATTGTTAAATACCATATAACCTTAGGAAATAAAATTTTAATTCTTTTTCCCAATATTTTATAATGAATACTTTTAAATATACAATAAAGTTGAAAGAACTTTATAGTGAACATCCAAATACCCACCACCTAGATTCTACCATTAACATTTTACTATAATTTTATGACACATCTATTCATCAATTCATCTTATTTTTTATGTATTTCAAAGTAAACTACAATCATCAATATATTTCCCCTTAATACACCATGGGTATCACTAACTAGAGTTCAATATTTGGTGTAAAATTTACATACAAATGAAATGCACAAATCTTAAGTATACATTTGCTGAGTTTTGGCAAATGCATACACCCATGTAATCCAAACCCCTATCAACGTACAGAAAATTACCATTACTCCAGAAAGTATGTACTCATTTGTGTAATCATTTCACAAGAATGCTTTTGAGATACTTCCATATTGTTGTGTGTATCATTAGTTTATTCCTTCTTATCGCCGAGTAGTATTCATTATATGAATAAACCACATATTTTTTAATCCTCATTCTTATATCTTATATTGTGATTTAGTAATTTCCAAACACTACGTGTAACTTTGCCAACATGCCCACAAAAGAGGCACATACATCTTCTGCATTCTATAGATACTGTGGAGAAGATAAAGTGGATGAAAAAAGAGAAATAAAAATTCTCTACTCTTGCCATTTTGCATCTGTTATTTACAAAATTCACACACATGCTAACAGAGTCGGTCATCACAGGCATGACCCAGATGGGCTCTTGATCACTTGTCCCATGGATACCAAGTTGGAAATCTGTTCCATTTTTTGCTTCAGGTGTCTTCCGTGGGGCCAGGGAAGAATGAGCTCACACTACCTACAGAGTCTTTCACAGACATACAGGGTATCAAAAGGCTCTGGAGCCAATTTGTCTCCGACTTGAATAATCCTGGCAATAGTTTACTTTGTTACATCTTTGTAATAATTATAATTTTTTTAGTTTACTTCTACAACATTTCCTGGTTCTCTCAATGTCCCACTAAATTTAAAATTAAATACAAAACCATATTAAGCATCTGGCCAAAGCTTAGCTTAAGTCAATGTCTCATAAGTTTTATTTTTATTTCTACCAGAAGAGTATTCTATTTTGTTGTACCACTATAATTCCAATAGAGTCCATTAAGAAACATTTATCCATCCCATCTTTTGTACTTTTTAAGTGAAAGTCCCAAAGTGGATAAAATTTGAGCATTCAGTACATCTCTTACCTGCTAAAGTTTATAAAATAATTCTATTTAGTGGAAACAATATTTGGTAATAGATCAAATGAAAAATAAAAAGTAAAATTAGCAAAGTAAAATAGGAATTTCAGAAAATAAATTAACACATTAATTACTACTTACTTTTTTCTTACAAAATTTTTTTTTCTTGGCCATGACACGCGGCCTGTGGGATCCTAGTTCCCCGACCAGGGACTGAACCAGGGCCCTCAGCAGTAAAAGCATGGAGTCCCAACCACTGGACCACCAGGGAATTCCCTTTCTTAATTTTTTTTTTTTACGATTTTATTTTTAAACGTGGACCATTTTTAAAGTCTTTTTTGAATTTGTTACAATATTGCTTCTGTTTTATGTTCTGTTTTTTTGGCCCCCAAGCATGTGGGATCTTAGTTCCCCGACCAGGGGTTGAACCCACACCCCCTGCACTGGAAGGCAAAGTCTTAACCAATGGACCACCAGGGAAGTCTCCCCACCCCAACCCAAAATTATGAAAATATCAAAAAGTATGAAGCGAAACATAATAGTCATTAGCATTCTGCCACATAGAGTTACCATGCTGGCATGTTTCCTTCCATTTTTTTTTCTATGTATATTACATATAAAATTTTAAAATTGAAATACTGTATATTCAATTTTATATTTTTTCTAACTTGACATTTTATCACAAATATTTTCCCTAACATGCTAAAATCTCCTTAAAATTTTAATCTCAGTATTATATCCCAACATGTTATTTATCCATTTCCCTACTACTGATCGTTTAAGTTGCATCCAGCCTTTTGTATTATAAGTAATACTATGAGGAATACCTCCATACCTCAACCTGTGTCTCAATTTTTTATTATTATGTACGGTAAACTCCTGGAAATGTAATTCCCAGCTTAGGAGCATGAATACTTGCTAATCTTGTCAAACCGCTTTCCAGAAATGCTGTGCCTTATACCCTGCAGCATTGTAAGTGCCTGTTTCATCACAGCCTCCCCAATACCGGGTATTGTGATATTTTAAGTGTTTGTGATCTCTTACTTCCTTTGCAATTACTTATCTTTTAAGTTAACTTCTCATATTTGTGTGTTACTAGTATTTCTCCTTTAGTTCAAGTCCTTTGCTCATTTGTCAGGTCTTATTTTTCTTATATATTAGGACTATTCCTTGACACCTATTTCGCTGGGATTCATGTGAAGCAAAAACACTCAATAGCTCCACTGGATGAGGGATAAAGGAAAGGGGTCATGGAGAGTGGAGAGTGATGTTGGGCACAGAGATGGTTGCAGTAATTATTGTTAAAAGTTTAGATATGCAGGGCTTCCCTGGTGGCGCGGTGGTTGAGAGTCCGCCTGCCGATGCAG